ACCCAGGCTGGAATGCAATGGCGCGATCTCTGCTCACCGCAATCTCCGCCTCCTGGGTTCAGGCAATTCTCCTGCCTCAGCCTCCTGAGTAGCTGGGATTACAGGCATACGCCACCATGCCCAGCTAATTTTTTGTATTTTAGTAGAGACGGGGTTTCACCATGTTGACCAGGATGGCCTCGATCTCTTGACCTCCTGATCCACCCGCCTCGGCCTCCCAAAGTGCTGGGATTACAGGCTTGAGCCACCGCGCCCGGCCACTATTTTGTGTATTTTATGGAAATCAACTGTAATAATATGTTACTTGAAACTAACAATGAATGAGGTAAAAAGCTTTATATGTGTCTGTAAGCCAATAAAAGAATCAAGTTTTTAATAATGTGAGTAGCCGACCTCCAGATTGACTAACAGAGATCTTAGTGTCTCTCATTGTCCTTTGCTATCCACTTTGAGGTTTGATAAAGATAAAAATCTTATAATATTGTTTCCCATTCTGGGATTAGTCAGATCCCTTGAAGGTCCAAAAATTAGTCATGATGCTTGTAAGCCATTTTCAAAGGCTATTGGAATTTGTGCTACTGCAATTTGCAATTTTTAATATATAGTCTATGTCTTTACCAGCCTCATTTTTTAACAATGGAGGAATGCAATTTCAGTGGTAAAATTTGTTTAAATGTTGAGTCTGAGAAGAAAAGTAACAAAAGAATTGGGCGAATTTAGGGACCTTGTTGATGGGACCCATGGCTAAACTTGATGTCAAGCTACACGTTGACAGGTGTGACAGTGCACTGTACAGATGTTCTGCTCTTCCTGCCCCCATCTTTGTTATTAGGACTAGTTATCTCGAGTTTGTACCTCTTGGTCTTCAAAACTTGACAGAAGTGCTCCTTGACAGCCAGGTAGTATGTGTATGGGCAAGCACATGCACATATGTGTACATGTATCATGTTTTTTCCTCTAGACCTCTGCATGTTGCTGCCCGAAATGGGCTAACAATGGTGGTTCAGGAACTTTTGGGAAAAGGTGCAAGTGTGCTTGCAGTAGATGAAAATGGTAAGTTGGTTCTGTGTTTTCTTTTCTTAACCTATAGCTTTTATTATTTGAAGAGAAACAAATTTGGATATTTTTTATTGGTCAGAGAGGAGAACTGAAATTAATATTGAATAGTAGTTTGTGGCAAAGGAACAAGGGCAAAAGAAATAGGAAAAGTTATCTAACAGATGAACTTCTGAATTCCTGTATCATCTGTTAAACCACAGTTAGTGTTTATTGTTTATACTTGCCGCTTTTTATTGTTTTAGTAGCCTAAGAGTTTGTTCTTTCTGCAAATATTTATTAAGACCTTACTTAAGTGCTATATTCTTATTTAAAGCCAGTGCTTCCACTCATGCACCAGATCCTGCTCCCTTTTGCGTACTTCATAATGTCACTTCGACAGTTCTCGTTTGTGTCCTGCAGTAACAATTTATGCTGTCTTCCTGGATTACTCCCCTCGGTATATCAACATTAGTTCCCTCATCTTTAAAAAAATATTTTATAAATCTCACTACTCCTCCCAGCTACTGCCATATTTCTCTGTTTCCCTTTGCAACAAAACTACCCTCTTGCTGTCTCCAGTTATTCTCCTCTCCTCTCTCATTCTTCCATTCTCTCTCTTTTTTTTTTTTTTTT